TATTCATGAGAGACAGAGAGAGAGAGAGAGAGGCAGAGGGAGAAGCAGACTTCCCGCGGAGCAGGGAGCCCGATGCGGGACTCAATCCCAGGACTCTGGGACCATGACCCGAGCCGAAGGCAGATGCTCAACCATCTGAGCCACCCAGGCACCCCTGGATGAAGTTTTAAGAAGAGGGACGACTAGGATGACTCCCAGTTTTCCCAGTGGATGGTGGTGTTCTGCATCAGTAAGATAGGGAATGGTCAGAGCAGCAGGCTTAGGGAATGGGGTATATCATGAATTCCTTTTTAAACCAGGTTGGAGGTATGTATCCCAGCCCCTCTCACTCCAGTTTCTTCTAGCTGCTATCTCTGTCCCCACATGTGACCCAGCCCCTGCTTTTCACCACCCTCTCTCCTAGAGGGCCACTCTTGCTCCTCAGAATTCTGGATCTCCAGTCTCTGCATTTTTTGAGCTAGGTCTGAAAAAACGAAAAACAAAAATCCAACCACTCCCAAACTCCTTGTTGCTTTCCATTTCTAAACCCGCAGTGAACTCCTACCCCCAAATTCATAATTGACAAACCCTGGAGGCCTCTATTTCCCTCTCCTTCCTCTTTAACAATCATCATCTCACCTTCCCTCCCCCTTTCCTCTGAAAAACTGTGAAGTGGGTGGAGAGGGGGAAGTGAGCAAAGCGGATACAACTCAGGGGGACACGGGGAGATGCTGGGTTCTGGTCTGGCCTTTTTTGTTTTACTTTCTTGCCACTCAGCAGGGCTAGAGGGACGGGGTCACAGAGTCAATACTGCTCTTGGGAGTGTGTGGTTGAACTGAACTCTGGAGATAATGAGGAGTGCCTTCCCCCACATCATGTGGGAGGCAGCTGAACAGAGTGTGCTTCTCTGTCCCACAGACCATTTAGGGGACCAGAAGAGAAGGTATTCTAGTGTATCTGCATATCTGTAAATGGCACAGTCCCAGTTCTTTAGTCTTGGAACATTAAGTCTCAGTGAACTTTTAAGAGACCCAAATCTGCTCATTTTGCATACGGGGAAACTGAGGTCCAGAGAGGGGAAGGACTAACTCAAGGTCACTATTTATATGAGGCCCAGCAGTGCCTGGAGTTGAGATTCCTAGTCCCTGCCCCGACTTCTCTCCATTCCTTGCGTGTTGCTGGCGTGGGTTTCCCACCAGAGAGAGGCACAAAAGCCTGGATTCTTTCCTTTGTCTGAGACTGGATCTAGACCTGTTTCCCAGAATCGTGACACACACTTAGGGGGACTCCTTTTCCATGTCGTTGGCGCCGCCTGGTGGAGTTCCGGAGAATCCTCAACAGCTGCGTCTACAATCCGAGACCTGGACTCAGAAATGGTTCCCCAGGGCCAAGTTTACATTTGGGCGGGCGGGAGTGGGGGTGAGTGGGATTGGGAGCCTCTGCTCGCTTTCTACAAGCCTGAGATCTTTCCGTCCCCCTCCTCCTGGCCCCCTTTCCCGTGTGCCGGTCCCCCTCACCATACAGATCCATCTCGCGTTGGAATAGCTCCCATATCAGGGAGCCAAGATTGAGAGTCTGAGTCTGGGGGACAGAGGGCAACGAATCCAGACTTTATTGTCAGGGAGAGGGAAAAGGGAAGACGTGGTGGGGGGCCGGGGTTGCTACATCGTCAAGCATTGAGAGCTGATGGGGACGGGAAGGCCAGTGGGGGCCCGTCCCCCTCCCGGTCGGCTGCTGTAAGGGCTGACGATACGGAAACCACAGAGGAGGGAGGGAGGTCACGCCCCCGCCCGAGTTGTGCAGTCGAGGTGTTTGGTGGGAGGGACAGCCATGAGGTCTAGGAGCTGGGACGGGGGAGGCTACAGACTCAGCGAATCCTGCGGAAAGGGGAGGGGCGGGGGCGAGGCTTCTATTGCTTTTTGCTCACAGTTTTGCGGAAGGCGAGGCGGGGGTGGGCTTGAACTGGACACCCCTTGCCCCCCTCGGTACCCCTTGGGCGATGGGTGCTGGTGAAAAGAATGGAATCCAGACTGGAGAGGAAGAAAGTGAGGGAAGGGTCTGTAGGGGCATCTACTTGGTCCCACCCAAGTGCCAGAGATGCCCCCAAGTGCTGCCCCCTGCGATGGGCCCAGCTAGACCTGGGGCTGGGGCATGGTGCGGGGCGGGCACAGTGAGGTTGCAGGCGGTAAAACCAAAGTGCTTTTGAGGGACCCAGGATCCCGCCTGCTCCCCTCCCCCTGCGGAGGACGGGGGGTGTTCACGGAAGCGCTTCAGTTTGGAGACAGGGGGCCGGAGTCCCAGAGTCCGCTTATTGCCAAGAAAATCCATTTCTGCCCCCCGGACTCCGACCATGGCTTGTGAACCCCGTTTTGTGCTAGGTTTGGGGGGGAAGGGCTGAATGGACATGGCTTTTGGGAGGGGGGGTGTCTCCAAGGGGGCTCGGGGGTGAGACGGCCCCCCCTTTTCTAGGGGAGAGGGAAGGGCAGGGGGCGGGGTTCCCTGAGATCTGGGGTGTTCCCCCCCTTCTGAAGCCCCCCTCCCCCGCTACCCCTCCCCTTTCCTGGAACCCCGTACCTCGGGGTGGGGGGGAAGGAGAGAGATCATTCAGGGAGTGCCGGGAGTAGGGGCAGGCTTGGAGCCTGGAGGCCTGGGTCCCGGCTGGAGGTGGAGGGGGGGGTTGAATGGGAGGGGGTTTGGGGTTCAGGTCAGTAGGGGGAGAAAAGGATGGGTCCGTGCGCAGTTCGGATGGGCCCGGGGGCCGGGTGGAGCAAAGGGTGGGTGATGGGCGGTCCCTGGAGAAGAGGTGCGGCTGGGGCCGGGCGCAGGGACAGCGGGGAGCCTGCTGCCGCTGCCATCACCGCAGCCACCGCCAGGGGGCTGGGGAGCAGGCCACCGGCTAGGGACTTGGGCAGCTCCTTGGAGAAAGTCAGCGTGCCCTGCGGGGGGGAGAGGGGCGGGGAAAGAGAGAAGTCATTCTGCGGCCCACAAACCCCACCTCTCCCCAGGCCAGCCCGCGTCCCCTCCCCCTCCCAGTTCCGGTCTCCCCGTGGCCGAATTCTCCAGCGCCCAGGCCTCACCGCTAGGTCCCCGGAGCCCCTAGGCTTCTTGTGACGGCTCAGTAGCGGGTTGGGCTTCCCGGCCACGCCGTCTCGGTGCCGCCGGCTGGAAATGTGCTGTGGGGGCGAGTGGATAGGGGGCTGTGAGCCACGGGGAAAGGGGCAACCGACAAGCCGGTAGGCACACCCCAAACACCTGGCTCCGCCCTTTCTGTGGCACCAAGGACAGACCCTGAAAGAAGCGCCCTCACCCAAGCTCCCTGTTCTCTTCCCCACTTAGTGAGTAGAGCTCCCTAGAGTTCCTGGGAAAGGCCTTGGACCCACCTGTTTCAGTTGGACCTCCGAGTTGACCTTGACATTGCAGATCTCACAGTGGAAGGTTCGGTCCTGGGCAGGGGCCTCTGGTTCCCCAGGAGTGGGAGGCCCCAGACGAGGGTAAGCTTTGATGGGGCCCAGCCCACTTCGGGCCTCCAGAATTGTCTTGTGCTTAGTACCTGGAGCCCAGAGAGGGCAGAGGTAAGGGGTGGAGGAAAAATTTTCCAGGCCCAGTAGGTGACAAATACACTCTCAATTAAAATATGGGGGAGCATCAAGTGTGGGGGTTTTCCAAGCCCCTTGGGATGCCCCCAGACACAAGGTGGGTCTGGGGAGAGTCACAGGTGAAGAAGTTAGGTGGAGGGGAAACTGAGGAAGTAAGTGGCTAAGGAAGGGGGGAGATGATTTGGGAGGGAGATAGGCTGATAAGTCCTGGACCGTCCAGCGTGTTGGAAACCAGGGGAATTAGGAGGTAGGGAGCAGGAGTGGGCTGAGGACAGGGGTAGGGGTGGGGGTAGGAGAGTCCATACCTTTGTTATGAGCCTCAAGCTGGGACAGGGAGTTCACTGCCACCTTGCACAGAGCACAGTAGAGCAGCCGCTTGGCCTTTTCCTCCTCTTCCTTGCTGCCCCCAGGCAGGGAAGCTGGGGCTGGAGTTCCCCCTTCAACCTTGGTTGTACCCTGACCAGTCTCCGGAATGCTGGGAGGGGATGGGGAGCCAGGCTGTTTCTCTGGGGATCCTGGAGCTGGACCCAGTCCATTCTCCATGGAAACTGTTGTTAGGGGAGAAACATAGGGGTCACCCCAGATGGTTTTTGGAGAAGATTCTTTATGTGGAGGAAACCCACCCCCATTTCCTGGAGGGCAAGGGCCCAGGAGTCCCCACCCTGTGACAACATGCATGCTCTCATGCCCTGGGCCAGAGCCAGATGTGGTCTAGCTGCTGTAGTCTGGGTGTGAGGCTCCAATGCCTGGCTCATTCTCCAGAAGCTGGGAATAGTTGAGGGGTCCAGCCCCAATAGCCTCCTCTTCAGGGTGAAGCTGGCACCCAGCCTAGCCATGGGGAGAGGCATGGAACAAGGATTCACCCCTCAATGGCCTACCAGCCAGCCTGGGCTTCCTGCCTGGCCAGCCCCTTCCCAGAGTCCTGCCCAGTCTCCAGGGAGGCATGCCAAAGAGCTTTAGGAAGGGGAAGAGGCAGCACAAGGAGAGGTCGGGAGAAACAGTTACAGACATGGCAGAAGGGAAACAGAAACAGCAGAACCGGAGAGGGAACAGGGATGCAGGCTGCTCTATAATTCATGGCTTGATTAAAGATGCACAGGCCCCAGCCCTCAGCGCTGGGTTCTGGCCTCTGTACAGGGGAAACTCTAGCACTCCCATTCTTGCTCCAGAGGCCGATCCAGTTTCCGGGTCATGGGGAGGCTGGCAGTGGGGGTGGGGCACTGGTAAGAAGGGACCTCCTGACCCCTGCGGGTGTGCATCTGCTTGTCCATTTTGTGATCTTTCCCTTTATTTCTCTCGCTCATTTTTGTCATCCGTTACCTCCATTTCAATCCAGATAGCACACTCACCTCTCAATCTGGACAGGGCTTCATGATTTATAAAAGTAGGGCAGGTATCATGATCTCCTTAGAGATAAACCATTGGAACTAATTAAATGAGGAGATATACATAAAGCACCTAGAACAGTGATATTCAAGAAATACTAGCTACCACCACCACCGTCATCATCATCCCCATTTTACAGAGATGTTGCCAAGTTAAAAAACTGTATCAGGCTAAGAAGCAGCCAGAGCATAATTAGAACTCAGCTCACCTGCCCGCCCTATCTGTGCCTCCCTGAGGGGTGTGTGTGTGTTGAGAGTGGGGTCCTGGTTCCCAAGCTGGTGATGCAGATGCCTGGTTCTCATTCTACTTGGGGTGGAACAGAAAGGACAGGCAAGGATAAGAGGAAATGGGGATATTCAGTCTCGCTGGAGTTGGTCATGACTGCTATCTGATGTGGTAATCCCAGGATGGGGGTGGCTCATATCTTCCTTTCTTGATATTCCTTCCTTCCAATTTCTTGGGAGTATGATTGAAGATGGCCACCAGCCATGAGGGAGAAAGAATCTCAGAGCTGCTTTTTGTGAACCTGGAAAAGACCTCAAACATCTTAAGTCTCACTCCCAGGAAAGAAAACTCTGGCCCAGTGAGGTCAAAAGATCAACCAAGATCACCCAGGGAGTTGCTTGAGTTTCCTGAGCTCTCAGTCCTTAGGGGAACCCCAGTGGGCAGGCCCTGAGGTGTCCTGATTCCCTCCCTACCCCTCTCCCCAAGATGAAGGAGGCTCTCCCTGGATTTGACGGTTCCTTTTTTCTTGAGGAAGTTTGCCAGGTGGCCTCACCCTAGCCCCTCTCTGAGTCACTGGGCAGTGGGGAGGACAGACAGTGGGTACTCTGTCAAGAGGAGCTGGGGTGGGAGTGGGGGTGACAGGATGGACATTTTGTATCACTGTGCTTGGCTCCAGGATTCACCTTGGGTCAGGGTGGGGTAGGGGCTGAGGAAGAGAGAGATGAAAGCAGAGGAGAATTCTAAGAAGTGGGGAAAGAACAGAGGAGACAAGATCAGTTGAACAATGTGGCGGGGGGGGGAGGGGATTCAGACACACCTGGACGGGGGGCCACACCATCCCCATTTTGGGGGGTGCTGCCTGGGGGAGCTGGGTCTCCAGGTTCCCGGACGCCAGGCTCCCTGCCTCGGGTCTTGGCAGCCTCGATGCCTTTGACTCTTCGGGCATGGCGATTACCCTTGTAGTGTGCCTCAGCCTGGCTCTTTAGGGATGAAGGAAGAAAATGGAATCTGAGATCACCTTTCATCTGATCATTCTCCCCACAGAGCTCCTTCAGGTCCTGGGGTGGTCTCAGCAGGCTGCAGTGAATCTCTCACTGTACCAGTGAGATGTAAAGCCCCATGCCAAGGAGTGCTGGTTATTCCTGGGGTTCAGACTAGCTTCTCAAGCTTGAGTAGATGGAAACCTGGATCCTCACCTAGCCCAGTCGGCCCCCTACCACCACACGCAGGGCCTGGCTGCTGACTCAGGCTTCTCACCTAGTTCTGGGTGAGGGAGGGTTACCCCAACCTATAATAGAATCCTAAATGGGAGGGTCCTAGCAATTCATCCAGCCAGCAATCTCTTGGCCCCCTGGCCTTCTTTGCCTATGTCTCCTGGCCCTGGGATCCAGCCTTCACTTCTTCTACACTCAAGCTGGGAGTTCCAAAGAGCTCTGAGGTCTGGGCTCTATCCTGACTACTCACCCCTGGTTCTCATTTTTCCTGAAGCCTCTGTGGACACCCTGGAGGACCCTGGCCCCAAGCCCAGCTCTGGAGATAGAGACAGCAGCAGAGACAGCTGTCAAAACAGAGCCACTTGGTGGGGGAGGGAAGGGGAGGGCAAAAGAGGGGAGGGCTGTCTACTATTGGCCCCCTGCCCCTCTAGTCCTCTACCCTCCACCAGTGAGTGGAGCCAGGGTTGGGAGAGGGGATGCCTGGGATTAAGGTAAAGGAAAGACCTAAAGCGGGGTTGGTCCTGGCTCTACCCCCACTCCCATGTGCACCTCCTGCTAAGAACATACAATCCTGGAGCCACAAGGTCACCCAGACAGGGATAGAGTAGAACTAAAAAGTGTGGATGGGCAGGAGAAGAAGATTGACAGCCCAGGGGTGGGGCAGTAGTGTGTGGAGCCTGGCATCATGGTGTGTGTGTGTGTGTGTGTGTGTGTGTGTGTTTGTGTGTGGACTGGGTAGAGAAACAGAACATGCTTTATTTCCCCCTACTCAGCAAAATGAGGCTATGCTGTTTTTCTCCAAAAGTCTCAGAACTTGCACCCCACAAAGTCCCCTCTAGACCCACACAGAAGTCCCAGGGGAGCCACAGAGGGAGGACAGCTGGGAGGCCTGACACCTAGGTTCTGCGTTTGGGGTGGCTTCTCTCCATGGGAAAGTCCCATGGGAAAGGGTAGACAGAGGAGGAAGCCAGGAGGTTAGAGTGAACTGGGTGGGCCAGGGGAGGAGTTTAGCAGAGGCCATGGAGGGCACAGGCTCTGCAGGGGAGTCAATGACCTAACTCAGCCCAGTGCCCAAGGACTAGTGGGGCCAGAGGCCACTCTCCCACCCAGACATGATGGCTATCTGTGTTCTAAGAAGTTCTGAACCAGGGAGGCCTCCGTTGCCAAGGGAGGGAGGGGTCAACCATAGAGGACTGGCCTACTTCATGTTGAAATATACAGCTCTTCCCTCTCAAGTGGCTTCCATCCGCCCCTGCCCCTCCTGCAGCATCCCCATTCTTTGCTCTTTCCGATATCCCCTTAATCTTTGCCCCCCGCCAGAGCTCCCAGCCTCTGCCCTCCCCTGAGATCCCCCGGCTATTGCTGCCCCAATCACTTGAGCAGTTAGGCTTCTTACCTGAGAATTGAAGCGGATCTGACAGACATTACAGGAAATGATGGGCCGCTTGGTCTTGAGCAAGGGTCCCCCGAAAGTGTGGGAGAGTACAGCCTTCTGCACAGGGTCCATCTACGGAGGCAGGCTGGGGTGAGCCAGGAACCCCAGCACAAGCTCATGTCCATCATCCCCCACATTGGTAGCAGCTGGGTTGAACCCAAATCCCCAGAACCTCCTCTCTATCCCTCAGTTTGCTTGAGGGCTCTGAGCCTCAGTCCCCTGATTCCCTCCCAGCCCAATCTTCACAGCACTTGAAGGGACCTGAGGGATCAACTGGCCCCATGCTCCCATCTGACAGAAAGTAGAAGTGGTTTGCCCAAGGTCACACGATGAGTTAATAGCAGAGCTGGTACTTGCACGTGAACTGCTGTCTCAGTTCATCACACCATGATGATCCATCTCTCTTTTTGACCTACAGTTAGGCCAGGCCACCAGAAGCCCACTGATGGGAAGTCCCAAAGCACCCCAGATCCTAGGGCCTTCAGCTGAGGCCTTTGAACTCTTTTGGCCCCACTCTGGGGCAAGATGTCTACCAAGCCAAGCTTCTGGTCCCAGGAGACAGATATTCCCAGCTTCCCATTGGGCCCCGGGTTGCCCTAACACACTCCCTAGACTACCTCTTTAAGGCAGCAGGTCTAAAAGGTAGTAATAGAACTCAGGAGAGAGTATGTGGCTGTAGTGAATCAAGGGGAATTAGTGGGGAGAAACTAAGAAGCTGGGTTGGCCTGAGGCAGCCGAGAGATCTGAACTCTTTCTCTGGGGCAGGGCTGTGGGGCTGGGCGTGATTAGGAACAGTATCTGCCCCCACCCTGGGTCAGCAGATGTCTTTGCAGTCTCCTGCCAAGAGTTCACATGAGGAGGGGAGACGATGGGAGTTTCTCTCTGAGGCCTTTAGCTATCAGGGGATGAAGTCAGGGGCCTAGAGGCATGAAAACTGCCTCCCTGCACAGTCCTCCTCTCTTCCAGGGGGCGGCCAGGGAGAGGCAAGACTGGAATGTAGCCGAGGCTGAGGGGGACTGAGTGATGGCTGGGACCTCTCATAAGGACGGAACCAAATTCAAGTTGAAGCCTTGTCTTCTAGGTGGAAGGATCAAGTAAAAAATGGTTGCTGGGACTTGGGGTTCCTTAGCTCCTTAGCTGAGTCCCTTTCCTGTGCCCAGGTCTTCATGGTTCCCAGTAAGACACCAGTGAGAGACAGGAACATGAAGCAAGGGGAAGAAGGTGGTTGGAATCTGCAAAGTCCACATATCCTCGCTCTCCCCAGTAGTCTCACTGGCTGGTTAGGGGTAATGTCAGGAAGGGGGCTTTAGATCCCTGTGAAATGGGCTGCCTCATTTGGTAGTAGTAGAGGCAGGAGTCATGACCAAGTTCAAATGACTGGTCTGACTGACAAGTGTCCCATCACTTGGTCTGTCCTTGGCTGGAAGCAGCCCCTTTCAGTAGCTCACTTTTCACCTCCTGGAAACCCAGGTCCTATTCAAAGAAAAGCCAAACAAGGGAAGAATGGGTGTGACTGTGTGTCTCGGCAGGCTGTGATCAATCTGTGCATGGGTGGAGTGTGAAGGAGTGTCATGTGCTGTGTGTACATCATTTATGTATCAACATTTTTGTGTCGGGGGCTTTGCCAACGCCATGAATGGTCAGGTTGTGTAATCTTCAGCTGTGTGTTTATCTGTGTGAATGTATGATGTGTTTGGCAGAAAGAAAGACAGACCAAGTTGGAGACAGGCTTTAATCAGAAAGGGGAGACAGACGACTGCTCTCAGCTCCCAGTCTCTAGGCGTCAGTCCTCCCTATCCAGCGACAACCCGCCGCCCCCTGCCCCAGGGTTCTCCTCAGCCCCTGGGCTTCCTCACATGCTGGGTGGGGAATGGAATTCAGCCCAAACAGAAACCCAATCTGGGCCAGGAAACCTAAGTCGATGACAACAGTAGGGAGAGAGGAGTGGGATGGAGAGGGGACAGCAGAGGCCCCAGTTCTGTCTCTGCCCCAGCCTGCTCCCCAGAGTGCCCTGAGGACGACCTGTGGGCTGACCATCCCAACATCCATCCCAGGAGAATGGTCCCTGCCCCACTTGTGTCCCTCCTCCGGGGTGAGAGCCTTTTCTCTTGTACACACCCCTCCTCAGGTTTAAGTCCATAAACACCGACTAGGGGTGGGGGGCACCGGGAAGAGGGCACCAACCTGGGGCGGTGGGTCCTTCCCACCCTCTCCTCCAGGAACTGAGGAGACACCAGGCTGAAGGTGAAGGCTCCTGGGCCCAATCCCTGCGCAGGTGGAATGTGAGCCACTGAAGTGCCGCTCCAGGCCAAGGTCAAGAGGCCCTAGTGACCTAGATGAGGGCTCTCTGGGGAGGGGTGGAGGCCAACATCTCCCACAGCCCATTCCACTCCAGAGCCCCTTCCCTGGGATTTTGGCCTAGACACTGCCTGGAAAGGTCCACAAAACATTCCTCTCCCACCTGCCCTCCAACAGCAGACATGAAGGGGAATCGCTCCCTGAAGCTGGGGCAAAATGAATCAGGAAGGGCAAGGGGGAGGGAAGGGAGGAAACCAGATCAGGAACACGCGGGGGGGGCATGATTATATTTCCTTCCATTGCCCTTTATCTGATGGAAACCGCTGCCCCTTGTTTGGCCACCCCACTTCCCCCTCCTCCCCATCCCCCCCCCATAAAGGTGAAAAGGGAAGGAGGGTGGAATCTCAGGGATGGGAAGACCTGAGGGACAGGAAGAACTGAAATAGGAAAGAGAGCGAGCTAGGGGGTATCTAAAGAGCAGGTGGAAGCTGGTGGGGGAGGGATGCTGGGAAGGGGAGAGATGCCGGGATGGGATGAGGGATCTAAGCGGGGTGGTAATCTGAGGGTACATGTAAGTCCTGATGGGAAGTCTGAAGATCTGGGGGACTCCAAGGATCTGAGAAGCAGAGGTGGGGGTATCCAGTGTGGTGGCAGTAGTCTGGGGGTGCCAGCTGGGATCCAGAGATTGGTTGGGACCGCGCCTGTTATGGGGGATGGGCCAGATAACCCGAGGACCAAGCGAAAGGAGAGGTAGCCCGCCCGCCAGAGGCGGGCGGGGATGGGGTGGGGGGGCGCTGCGGCAGCGGCGAGAGCCAGGGAGAGAGGAGGGGCCGGGTGGCTTACCCTGCGGGACCCCGGGGGCCGCGACTCCATGGCCCGGGGCGGCGGACCCGGACGGGGCACCCGAGCCTGGCCGGGCCGGGCAGGCCGGGGACGCGACGCTCGTTGCCCGGGTGGCTCGGGCTGTGCGGCCGGGCCGGCCCGAGAAGGGGAGGCGGTGCCGGCCGGGACTGGAGCCCGCCCCGGAGGCGGTGCCGAGGGCGGGCCGCAGACGGGGGCGGGGCTAGGGAGCCAGCGAGAGATGAAGCGGGGCTAGGGTGAAAAGAGGAGGGGAGTCCGTATCCAGATACTCGTTCCAGGGTATACCTTGTCCTGGCGAGGGGTCGCTCGGCCCGGCGACCGGGTATTGACCAAGTGACCTCGGCTTCCTCCACTGAGTACCCTTGCTGGGTCCAGTGTCCCCATCAATCCTATGGACGACTCTGTTTCTCTAGCTCGGACGTTTCTCCTTTCTTCCATCCCCTCCGCCCTGGCCCTCGCTCCTTTGCTCACAGCCTCTCTTCCAGGTCCCCAGACGACCCTTCTCCTCTTCCCTCTGCACACGACCCCTTTGCCCTTTTTACATGTCACTTCCCCTACTAGGGAGGGGAAATCGAGCCCAGGCACCTAGGTGTCAGGCACTGCTCTCTCAGCGACTCCTCTGAACGGTGGAGCTCGGGGGCGCCCAGAGCAGAAGCGACCTCAGATTGGGGACATCGTCCCTAACCTCTTCCCACCTCCTCCCCTCGCCCGCCACCTGCTGGACAACCAGGGTCCCAAAGAGCTTATGTTTCGTGCACTTGCTGCCCTCTGGCGGTCAAGTAGGGGCAGCACTGGGGCTGAGGGGCAGGAGGGCAGAGCAACCCACTGCCCCCCCCCCCCCCCCGACACCTCCTCATCCTCTCTGGACAGGTCTTAGGTTTCCCGCTCTCTCATCTCTGGATCTCACCCTCTCTCATTCCACCTAGGACAGAGAGATGAGTGAAGCAGGGGACTGGAGGTAGAGGTTGTCTCTGGGAGACAATGAGGGATGTCCAAGGGCAGAGGAAAGCATAATGTGGCAAGGGGTCTAAGAGGTAGGAACTGCCCCAGTAGGAAAGAGATCTGGAGGTCTTAGTCCAGGGAAGGGGAGACTCTGCGATGAATAATAAAACCACCACCACCACCACCACCTAATGTTGACTGAGCCCTTGGAATGTGCCACCCTCGGTACTGAGCTCTTTGCATGGATTATCTAATTTAATCTTCACAACCACTATTCAAAATAAGTACTATTATTATCTTCATTTTATAGATGAGGGAACTGAGGTTTAGAGAGGTTAAATAATTTGCCCAAGGTCATAAGCTAGTAAGTGGCTGAACTGGGATTTGAATTTTAAACCTGGGCAGCCTGACTCTAAAGCCATGTACTTAACTGCTGCACAGTACTGCCAAAGGCCTGTCTGCAGCTTTTCTGCAGTCCTCATTTCCCTGCAGAATTTGACACTATTGGTGCAGCCCGCGACACTCTCTCCCTTGGCTTCTCTAACTCTACAGGAACCAGGTTGCATCCCCACCCCCTCCAGTGGCTCCTCCATTTCCTTTGCTGGCGCCTCCTCCTGTTCCTGCTGCCTAATTCTGCTTATTCCAAAAGGCTGAGGCCTTGGCCATACTACCCTTCTCTCTCTGATCCTCTCTTAAATAAAAATAATAGCAATAACATAATAATCATAGCAGCTAACACTGAACACTTACTTTGGCTAGGCATTATGATCATGCAATACAATTCTCACAACAGCCTTGTGCGTTGGTACTATTACCATCTTGTTTTACAGCTGGTAAAATTCAGGTTCAGAGAAGTGAAGCAATTTGCCTGAGGTCACACAGCCAGTACTTTTGGAATGTCAATTCGAATCCTGCCAGTCAAAGTTGGTGCTGCTCAACACTCTGCTGCACTCTCCAAGCTTATCAGCGCTCATGGCTTTAAATAGCTAGTCCCTGCTAGAGGCAGTGCAGCCATGAACCCTGTGGGAGTCAGAAAGCCTGAACTATCCATGTGAATTGACTAGCTTTGTGACCTTGGGCAAGTCACTTAACCTCTCTAACTTGTTATCTTTCCTACTAAGCGTGGGCTCCCCAAGGGCACAGACTGAATCCCGTATCCCTGACGCCTGGTACAGTGCCCAGCACATGGTAGCTGCTCGAAAAATTTTTTTTTGTTCACTTGAACCATTGTCAGTGTCTCTGTCACAATATTTATAACTCTTGCTCTGTTTTGTGTTATAGATTGCTGCATAGATGTTGATATTTCTCCCCTGTATATAAGGTCTTCCAAGATTGGACCTTATCATGTTTACCCTCACGTCTCCATTGTATCTAGAACAGTGCCTTGCTTATAGCCAGTACTCAATTTTCTCATCTGTAAAACAGGGATAAAACAACAGCTTCCCTGTAGGGTTGAATCATACCTTCAGCACATACTGTGTCAACTGAGGTAAATTACTAAACCCTTCTGAGCTTTAGTTTCTGCCTTGCCATATGTGAAACAGGAATAATACTGTCCTCTTTGTTGGGTTGTGGTGAAGATGCAGTGAGATCAGGTATAGAAACACCTAGTGCAGCGCCCGGCGCGTAGTTGATGCGCAGTCCATGTTTGTAGCTGAATATGATTTGATGGTGGGTTATTGGAGCTGAATAAAGCTGACTTCCCCCAAACCTTTAGCTCGAGCCCACTCTCCAGGACCCAAATTCCAACTGTCTGCTGGACATTTCTGGCTCAATGTCCCACTCGTATACCAACTCACCATGTCCTAAAGTGAGCTCAGTAGCCTCACCCCAGACCAGCTTCCTCCTCCAAACCCCTGCCCCCGTCAAGGTGACTTCTTCCAGTCACAGAGGTTTGAATCCTGGAGTTAGCCTTTATTCATCCTCTCTCTTCTCCCCCACCCCCAAATACCAGTTGGTCACCATGGCCTATGAATACTTCCTTGGAAACACCTTGCCTCTCCCCCTTCCTATACACTCACACTGCCCCTACCACTGGCCCAGTCTGGACTTCCAGGCTTCCCTGCAGGCCCGCCTTGGTGGGATAGCCTCCTCTAGGCTCTGCTCCCTTTCATCCAGCTGTCCCACCCACCTTCCTCAAACACTGCTCTTACCAAGTCACTTTCCTGCTCAGGAATGCATAATGGCTCCCTATTTCATGCTGTATTAAATTTAGTCAAATTTGCTAGCCCTCTAAGCCCTACCCCATTGACCTTACCCACCCAGGTGTGGGTTCCAGAGAGCTAGAATTTACAAACAGGCAGGCTTGTGGCCCTGCTTATTCCCTCCTTCTGGATTCAGCACCTGTCCCCCCTCCCACCTCCCTGTAGTCACAGTCACCACTCTAGGTCTCATTTCTTCTCTAGATGGTGGGCTCAATGAGAGGATTCATATAAAACATGTAGCACAGGGTCTGGCTCATAGATAGTGAGACCTCAGCAGATATTAGTTATTGTTGTTATTGTTGTTAATAGTCTACCAGATAGCCAACAATGCTCGTAACCAGCTAGAAGTCAGGGAGATGGGGTCCTAAGAGGAGATAAGGAATTAGATACAAGAGAAGAGGGCAAGGGTGAGTCGGAAGGAAAGAAGGAGCCAGGGTCTCAGGAGGGTAGGGCAGGCAGGCCGGCTGCTACTCACAGTGTTGTAGTTGCTGAAGAGGCCCAGGGTGGGGGCTGGCTCCAGTGGGAAGGGCAGGATCTGCTTGAGGTCCAGTGGGGGCTGCATGATGGGGGGCTGCCGAAGCAGAGGGAGGGGCCCTGCCCGGCTCAGGCTGCCTGAAGGGCAGAGAAAACATTGCGTGGGGCAGGAAGATTGAAACTTGGGAGCCCCACCCAAACCTGTCGTCCCACTCCCCAGCTGGGGCCCCCACACTCAGAAGTGTGACCCCCGTGGTACACACACACTTCCCCTGCTTGCTGTCTCCGGAGCAATGGAGCACAGTGCCCTGTGGGCCCAGGGGAGGGTGCAGACCAGTCCTTTCCTTCTGGGTGTTTTTCACTTCCCCCTTCTCCAGCCTCCCTCCCCCAAGACCTTTAGGCATTTTACAGACCCAGGAAGAGTACAGACCTTCTCTGCTGGATCAGCAGGACTCAAGAGCCCCATGGCTCTGGTCACTCCCTTCTTCTGGTTTGGTTTTCCCCCAAGGAATCCCAAAGGCTAGGTCTCACCCCAGGGAGAAGAGAGTCAGGTGGGTGATTCATCCCACTGCCCAGAGGGGAATATTGAGGCCTAGATTTGGAGGAGGGCTACTGAGTCAGGCTGCCTGAAGAGCTATGATTTGTCCCAGTCATAAATCCTAGTTAATTGTTGATATCTCTGGGGGTAAGTAATAGGTGAGTGGCATTTGCTCTGGGAGGTGGACTGCCTGGGTCTATTCTCAGAGCCCCTTTTCCCCAACCTTCCTGTCTTCCCCCGTGCCCCTTTGTCTCACTGGGAGTGTTCAGCTCCAGCTCGGCAGGAGGAACAGCCACTCTGGCCTCTGGGAGGGGAATGCCTGGGTCTGACCCCAAGGGGGAAATGAAAGTCCAGGCTAGCCACTCCACTACCCACCCACCCCTGAAACCTTTTTCTCCTCCCTCCAGAGCCATGGGAGGAACCTTGCCAGTCTCCAAAGGGGGTGGGCCAAAGGCCGTCAGGACCCCTCTGGGCTTCCGCTAGCCCAGCTCCCTTCTGCAACCTAGCTGTCCACCAGTCAGGGAATTCTGTCTGCCCTTCACTGCTCTAGCAACCCCCTGCCAACAACAGGGGTTCCCAGGAACAAAGGCAAAGCTAGGAGCCTGCAAGCTTGGCCCCGTCCTCCCTTGACCTTACTGGGGCAGAGGGTACCCCGGGATCCTTTCCTGCTCCCTCCATAGAGACTTGCCCCTTTGCATACCTTCAGTTTCTGGTGCCTGCTGCCCCCAGGCAGTGGCCTGGCCCTGGCCCCCCAGGGGCCTGGGCCTGACAGCGTCCCCTTCCCTTGGTTCTGCCCCCTGCCCCCTCCCTTGCCAGCCCCCTCCCCCCGAGTCCAGTCAGTAGAATCAGCCAATCAGAGTCCTGGAAAAGTGGGGCAGAGGGGAGGGCGGGGGAGCAGGGATTAGGGAATCAGAGGCGAGAGGGAGGGGGTGGGGAGGGCTCAGGCACAGCTGGGGGCAGGGAGCTGGTCCAGAAAGGTCTGGAGGGGTCTGTCTCTTCTGCCAGGGTGGGTGGCCAGGGTACCTGAGGTCAAGGCTGCTGGGAGCTTGGGCTCTAGATGGCTAAGGGTTGAAGGAAATGGCAGGATGCTTGGCTTTGGCCCTTGGGCAGCTGGGGGTCTGTAAACCCTGTGTGTATTCCCTCCTCTGCCACCTCAGAGTTGGGATGGGACAGGGGGAGAGGAGAGAGAGACAGACAGATAGACAGACAAAAGCAAATGAGAGAGAATGGGAAAGAGTGACAGAAGCAGGAGTAAGTGATTGAGAAAAAAGACAGACACTGAGAGAGAAAAGGATAGTGAACAACAGAGAGAGGAGAGTGAAATGAGAGAGAAAAAAAGAGACTCTGCTGAAAAACTGGACACAGAGCTAGAGACCAGGGTAGAAAGACTGAAAGAGAGCAGGGAGAGCAAGAATGGGAGAGAGAAGTGACAGACAGACATCTGAGGGGCAGTTTGACTACCTCCCCTTCCTGGTCTGTCCCCTCAGGGCTGTTCCCCTCTGTGTGCACACCCCTTCCCCCCCCCCGCCCCACAAGCCTGGCACACCAGACCAGGGCAGCCTTAACGAGCCCCAGGCAGCATCAGGAATGGTGAGAGAAACCTGAGCGCTCCCAGAGTCCCAGGCACCCAGCACCCACCCCTAGCAGCTGGTTTGGGGCTGGCACTTGCCCTGCCCCAGAGCAGCTCAGCTCCTTGACCCTTTCCCCAACTCTAGACTCTCTGAAGCCCCCACCACTCAAACACCCATCTCAGAAGACAGAGATGAGTTCTGGAAAAGGCAATAGAAAAAAAAAAAATGTAACGTGGAGCCACTATGTGCCAGGCAATGAGTTCTGAGTATTATCACATTTAATCTCTGGGGCAGCTATGATTCTCTGGAGGTAGCTGATACTATTTTCCCCATTTGACATATGAGGAAACTGAGGCTCAGAGAACTTAAAAACCTTGGCTGATGTTACATAGCCTGTAAGTATCAGGGCTGGGATTTAAACCAAGATCTGTCGCACTCTGTAGCAAATTCTTTGGCAGCTACATAACCCCCGGAGGACTCTAGTCTCACTTGGAGATCCAAGCACAGGCTTCCATCTTGTTCAAGGAGAGAAAGGGGAGAGCAAGATCCCTGCACTTCCTGGGGTTGGAGGAAAACAAACAGCAGTGATTCAGTTCCCTACGGCCAGCAACTCATCTTTTCCACTGACAGGAGCCCTGGAGGGAAGGAGGCAGGAGAGGGAAGTGGGAGCAAGGGCTGAAATGAGGATGGAGTGAGGCAAGGAAGCAAAGTGGGCAACTAGAGATTCATCTGTCTCCTTCCCGATTTTTGGGTCTACTGCGCTATGAGATGGGGAGAGGGACTGATGGCAGCCCATGGGCAGAGTGGGCAGAAGCAGGGCTCGCGTTTCAGGTGGCCCAAGCCTCAGTCCCCTCTTCCCTTCTCTGGGAATAATAATAGTGGCCACTCTTTGAGGGCTTACTATATGCCAGGCACTGGACATACATGATCTCCCTGAGGATGGCTCCAATGCTCAGGAGCTGGGTGACTAGCTCATTTGGCAAAAGAGAACAACAGTACTGCCTCAAGGAGTTGTTGAGAGGATTGAACGAATCCATGGAAATTGCTGGCATGCTACAAAGGGAGCTCAATAAATGTTTGCTAAATAAATGAGTCCTCATCTTATCGATGACGACAATCAGCTCTGAGAAGGGGAGTTACTTGACCAAGGTCACACAGCTAGTGAGGGACTTGAACCTGTCTGTCTGGCTCCAGAGACAGAGCTTTCAAGCACCACACTTTTGTGGGTAGACTAGGGATGGGGTATGGGGGTGGGGAAGGGCAGGAACATAGGGCTGGGGAAGCAGGAAATGAGGTAGGAAATCCAGGGCTTCTGACATCTGGCTAGGTGAGGGCTTCAGGCAGGTTTGGAGGGGGGAGGAGAGCAAACTGGAGTGTGTGCATGCATAGCACACAAGTCAGGCTGGGCAGGGAGGAACTGGGGTCTGGCTGGGGCAGGCCACTCCAGAGGGAAGCTCGTTAGAGTAATTACCTCCAACAGATAGAGCCCCACCCAGCCCTGTGGGACTTGCCAAATGCTTTATTAAAGACAGTTGCCAATGCACTTTAGAGGGGGTGAACTCTCAGACCCTTGGATGGATGTCCATCTGTCCTTTTCTCTGTCCTACCTAGCCCTAGGCACTTTGATCCTGCTCAGGTTTCCTCTCTAGCACCGAGCAACAACCAAGCCACATCTAACTCCTTCCATCCCACTGAGGTCTGGTCTTTTCCTTCCTCCCTGCCCCAGAAATTCTGGCCAGGTCAGAGTCCCAGCCCCTTGGCTGTCTTAGGTCAGGCCTGGGGCCTCAAGCCCTTGTGGTAAAGAATGGGAGTGTCTGCCATGAGCTGGCTCAGGGAGTGGTCATGTCTGGTAGGAACAGGAGTCAGGAAAGGTGTTAGGGTAGGGCTGTGCGTTAGTGTTGGTTCTGAAGGTTGTGCCAGGATGAGAGTGAGATGAGAGAGAGGTATTGGGATTAGGGTTGCAAGTAGTATTAGGGCCCTAACCTAAGGTGGTGAAAAGCATGGGGTGAGCACTGGGTTAAGATGGGAATTAAACTCTGGGGCCAAGGGAGGAGCTAGATTGGGGTCTGGACTGGGTTATCATCTCTAATACAACTTTCTCTTCAGGACTTTGGGCCTCTTCTCCCTCCCCAGCCCCAGCAATGCCTAAAATTGGGGATTGAGGGGAGACCTTGAACCCCTGCATCTTGACTTCTTGACCAAATTCCATGTATCTGTTCCCTTCTGCCTCAACTTCTCCCATCTGGACAGGAGGCAGGCTGAGGGCTGGAAAAGCTTTGAAGTCAAAGATGAAAGCAACAGGGGATGATTATGAACAACCACTTAAAAACATCATCCTTAATAACCCTAGGGTGGATGTAGGCGGGGCAGGGCTAAAGGGAGGAGGTGGCCAGAAAGGGAAGAGAGAGAAGATCCTTGGGAAATCTTCCCTATCTGACAGGAAAGGGCCTCCTTCAATGCCCCCTCCCCACAAGGGCCTAGTTGGAGAGGACAGTAAGAAAGGCCCGGAACAGGGAATTGAGCCCAGAACCACCATCTGCTTAAACCTAGGCCCATGGTCTAGATCTTGAGCAGGTAGGCGGGGCCCCACCTGCTGGTCAGGGCCACCACGCACATGGACTCAGTAGACCTCAGCATTTGGAACAGAAAACCTTACTATGGGCCCTGGGGGTGGGGCCTGAGCCCTGGCTGGCAGGCTTCCCTTCCTGCCCCTCTGTAGGTGGGCACAAGGAGGGAGTTAACTACAGGGTCCTCTAGGAGATACGGTGGGGGTGAAATTGGTGGACCCAGGCATTTTTCCTGTGGTGGGGTCTTGGTCAGGTTTGAGCAGGTCCCTGAGGTGGTCTTTTGAGCCTACAGACCAAGGGGAGTGCTGCTCACACTGGCCTATTCTGGATAAGCATGATGCTGCCCCTGGGGCCCAGGCCCAGCGTGGGGCCGGAGCCCAGGGTGGAGCCCACATGCAGGGATTGCACAGGTTGGAGGAATGTGGAGCCCATGCTCTGGGGGCCTGAGTCTAAGATGTGTTGGTGAGGATCACTTTAGGGTGGGGATAGTCTTCAGAGTTGGGTGAGGAGTCTTTTCTTTGCTGGAGATACTCGTGGGAGGGAGGCAGGCAACCAGTCATTCATCCTCTGTTCCCTCGTTCATTGAGTAACTATGATGGAGTGTGTAACATGATAAGAGAGGGATGAGATACAGGAAGGGGAGAGAAAGAGATGGAGAAAGGAGGGCAGAAGGGGAGAAAGACCACTAGTGGGAAGTCAACAGGGGTCAAAGGAAAGAAGGGAAGCAAAAGAGCCAAGGAGGCAAACAGCAGAGGGACCCAGCAGAGGGCTGAGGCAGGAGCCAGGCAAGCCCTGCGGCACCAGCATGGAGCCAGGTGTCCCCAGTGGGAGGTAAGGAGTGTGAGGGCCTGGTGTGGGTGGGGGTGGGGGGTCTCCCACCATAAGCAGGGCCCAGGAACCGGCCTAACCAGGGCAGAGGTCAGAGGTCAGAGGACAGAGCAGGCCTGAGACTATTGTGGAGGCAGGGGCCTGGAGCCCCTGGAGCTGAGGAGGAGTCCAGGCGCACAGCTAGTCCCTCTCCTCCCCCACCCCAGGGCTCCCTTCCGATGTAGGTCATGAGGATGGGGTGGTTGTGACTGAAGGGTTGTCAGAGTCCCGCGGGGGCTCCCCTTTCCCTCCTTACTCTCTCCATTGCCCCTTGTCCCCTGGTGCCCCCGGCCCAAGGCAGGGGTGGGGGTGGGAGAAGAAAGAAGAAGGAAGCCGGGAAGGAAGGGCCCAGGCAGCCAGAGCAAGGAGAGAGCGGGGCAGGTCCCGGCGTGTTGGGGCAGGATGGCTGCGGAGGCAGGATCGGAGCCGCAGGGGCCCTGGGATGGACAGCTTCCCACCCCTGCTTCTCCCCAGCCCCCTTATCTCCGGCCCTCAGGTTCCCACCTCCCACCACACACACCTCGAAGCTACACCCACCATCTTTTCCCCGCCCGCCCCCCACTTCCTCCTTTCCCTTATCCTGGGCCCAGAAGGATGTCGGAGTGTCTGAGCTAAGGGTGGGGGGAGGGCGTGTGTGTGTGTGTGGGGGGACGGGTCAGAACCTTTCCCTCAACTCCACCAGGCCAAGATCAGCCCTCTCCCCCAGCCTCTCGTAGACCGTCATATAATATTCATGAGCCTCATGAATACGCAATGTCCTCATTATGGGGCGGGGGTCTCACTCGG